TTTTTTTTTTTTTTTTCGTTCGTTTTAGTACATTTCTATCCACACAACGACCGACATCGAATTATTATTATCTTATGTACATATAATTCGTATAATAACATAGTTAACCTCTAGTGATCGATTATTACAGTATTAGTGCAACGTCTCGGTACTTATCACGGGTGTGTACGCGGTCTTAATCGATTCGTTCACGGCATCGGTTTCTTTTTGACTAGGAAAATGTGCTCTGTCAACCTCGTCGCGATCGTTCTGGGGTCGCTGCACTCCGTATGCCTTCGTTCCTCGATTAGTTTCTCTTTCTTTAAGTGGCTGACGTCCGCGCTATGACTCCTGCCGGCAGTCGGCCTGTACGAGGCTGGCGAGGTATCGTTCTTCTCTACTGCTTCGGCTCCTCCTTTCGTCGTTTCTTCCTCTTTCGTGGGTGACAGTTTCTTCGGCGTGCCGGCGTTCCCTTTACTGTCGGCCGTGCCGGTTTCCTCGGCTTCGCCGGAGACCGAACGTCGTTTCTCTTCGTCCCTCGACGGCTGCGGCGACTTCTTCAGTGCCGGTTGGATTCGCGTGATATTTTTCGGCAATGGGATCCATCTGGATGGATCGAGCTTGCTCGCGTCTGGTATCTCTGTGTGCCTTCTCTCCTCTACTCGTCTTTCTGTGTACTTCTTCAAGCAATCGACATCTGCGCTACGACTCCTTTGACTACGCGGAGATCGTGATGGTCTTCGTTGACTGGTGCCCAACGGGCCAGCCCTTTCCTGCGAAACGCAAAACGTTGAAAACGTCTTCGTTACTGTTGTGCCCGTACTCGCTTATATAGATCATCACGACAGACACACAAGGCATCAAAGACAATTCACCTAAGCAAGGTGTAGCTTCGCGTAATCCGATATGTGCAAAATACCGTGTTGCGCAGATGCAACGTGCAAGCTGGCGCCACATGCTCGGGGATTTATTCTGAAGGTGTGCAATTCCGCGATCTGGCTGCTACACGCCGCCGCTGGATCCCCGCTCGATGTCAAGTGACCGCTCCAGAATTCGTTTCCTACGACAGTCAGACGATTATCATAATTTTACGAACCACTCTGCTCGCAATTTAAAGCTGCGAAATTGTTGGTGCATCATGCATTCTAATTATTGAGAAATTTTCCGACAACCTGGCAACGAGTTTCCATCCCACGCGTACGTCACTACCAGAAGTTTATTCGCGTCCGAGGCCTTGATCAGTTTGCTCTGTGGCTCTCTGAGAGCGAAGTGAATCTTTATATCTGGGAAATAATAAACGTCGCTTTGCAATGGCCATATTTGTCAGACGAAAAAAAAAGAAAAAGTGCCGAAGATCGTTAACGTACCTCCGAGGTAGTCGCCGTTTCCGGCGTCGCCGCACTTTCGCTGCTGGAAGTACGCGAACATGATGTCGGACACGTATCTCAGTTTCTTGTTCATCTTCCTCAGGGCAATCTCGAATGTCTTTAGAAAATAGATCTCTTGCTCTTGAGTTACTTTCCACACGCCTGGAAGAAAAATATATTTTTTTCTTTCATTTTATGCGGAAACTTTGCGACGCGACGAAATTAAACAAGTTCTTAAATACTGAATGAAATTTTAGTTTACAATACTAACCAAGGCCAAAACCCACGACATGCAAGAAAGCAGTCGTGTTTTGTTTCTCCGCCCGTGTATTTGCTTCGAGAAGCACGATCTCCACGGTGAGCAGTGTTCTTTTCATGTAATTCTCCACGTCAAAGACCGTCTGGCTGTTCAGCGAAAGGTATCTTCTGTTCTCTTTCGATTTAATTCGTTTCAGCGCCTCCTCGTACAGCGGGTGGTATTCCTCGCCATAAAATTTTGCCCACAAAACACGGAACTCGCGTGTTTCCTCCGAACCTCCAGCTGACTGTGGTCCGTATCTGTTCGCAAAGAAGAAAGAAAAAGGAGAAAAAGAAACAAGAAGAGAAAGAACATTAAAGAACACATTGGAACGAGTTATTGTAAAACATAAATTTTACACACACAACTTACCCGTTCTCGACAGTGTTCTGCGCAGGCGCAATAATAATATCCTGGTATTCCATAACACGTGGACGTTCGAATCTGCGAACAACCAGCAGGAGTAGACAATACGAGCTTTTGCAAGTATATTTCTATGTATTTAGCTTTGTGAATGGTAAGCGTTAAATAAACCTTGTTCCCACAACACCTATAATCACTCCTCTCGGCTGTACAGAGTCTGGATCGATATTCACAATGCCTCGGTTATCTCGCGAGCCGTCATTTATAAATTCAGAGTGGGAAGACATCGCCATCATCGAGGACAATTTGATCTCGTCGTACGACAAACATTTGGTCAACACCTGGTGGGCGTAACGA